GACCTCTAAAATTTAGTTTATTCCCATAATTTTCTCATTTGTTTACTCGGTCCGTCTTTTAGCTGGGTCCATCTTTAACTACTTTAAAGAATTTGCTCTCTACTTCTCGAATATGTTTTTCCCGTTCTGGCATTCTTGCCACACTTGAAGTCTCTCCTTCTACCCTTCGATTTCGCTCACCCCAAGAACTCGGCTGCCTTGGTCTCATAGTTGATCAGCTGGCTCATGAGTTCGGAGGTCTCAATCAGGTTGTCTCAGTTCCTGTTCAATTACGGCAGTCTCATATCCCCCAAGAATGGCGAAATTCCTCTGATCTTGACATAGCTTCACCGGAAGCAGCCTCTAGGTTGCTCGATCAGCTGCTTCCAACCTTAAAAAATTTGGTGGTGTGTACTGATTCGTCAGAAGAAGGTGTTGTTATGTATCCCTATTCTTCACGACTTTCTGATTGTTTTAATTTTGTATCCGACTCAGCTAATACATCAAGGACTACGAAAATTTCCACAGTTCGCTTTCATCGATTTGCTATGGTTGATGTATTAATTGGTGCATTTGCTTTCCTGAATTATGTCATATCAGCACAGTCTTCTATCACCTAGCCCCCTCATCCATTTTATTTGTATCCCTAGTAGTCATCAGTGTAACATAGCCCTACTACATCACGCAGGCAGACATCTCCATCTCCAGGTCCATCGCGAGTATGACTAATCTGCAATACTTTTTTTATGTTGATTAGTCAAATCTTGCTACTACATCGAATCGTTCTCTTTTCTTTTTGAATTAATCATGGGCCAGCATTTATGTCATATGACTGCCTTTTATATGCCCTGTTCTCCTTGAGGCCGCTGTTTCTCGGTTACAACAAAGTCTCTTGCGCTAACTTTTTACGTCATTTTCTTATCTGGGTATTACAACAGCCGTCTGCCTTTGGATGAACACATCGAAGGTCTTAACTGGAGCCTCACTCTGAAGTCATATCGTCAACTTAGCAGATATCCTCCTGGATGTCACATACGTGTATTTTTACGTGCCTCCGAATGTGTTAAAATCTCATATGCCGCTTCAACCCTCTTCTGCATCTGACTGTACAATTCGGTCGGACTTTGGTATTATGTAGACTCAG